CTTTCAACGGGAAGTGTCTCACTATTTTTGCACTTGAAGGCGTTTGCAATTTATATGATGCGAATGGGCAATGCGCACAATGTGTGGATGGATATTATATTAGCAATTCATTGTGTTTTAAGTATACTTTTCCATGTGCAATTTGTAAAGACGATATAAAATGTGATAAGTGTGATAAAAAATATTTTGTAAATGAAAATGGAATTTGTGAAAGTGTCTACAACATCACAAATTGTGGCGAATTCTCAGAGACTTTGGGGTGTTTAAAATGTATTGATGGGTATTACAAAAGTGGACTGCGTTGTATTCAATGCAAACAAAACTGCTCATTGTGTACAACACCAGAATTGTGCAACAAGTGCAGTAACAACATGGTCTTATCTACTGGTATATGTATTGAGCGATTGTATATAAAACATTGTGTTAATGTTACAAACTCGTTGTGTGAACGATGCAACTTTTGGTATATCAAAAGTGATGGTATGATATCTTGTCATGAAATAAATATAACTAAGATTCTACTTATTGTGATATTTGGATGTATTATCTTACTGTTATTCTTTACTATCATTATGATTCTTGTTGGATTGTACATCATACAGACACATCACCTTAATGTAGAGAGAAAGAAAAATGGTATATTTTCTATTCGTTGTGTCAGAGAACCAATAAAACAACTTATAGACAAGATATACATAACATCAACAACACTCGATTTTGGTGTTGACTTACCAGTCAACAGAATGTGTATTAAAACAGTTGTATTTGCCAACAAATCGAAATGTTGTGTAAAGTTGCAGTTGGTCTACATTCACCGCAAAAGTTACAAAATCACCGTCTCACCAAAAGTCGTCACATTACGACCAAGAGACGCTTGTTTTTTTACAATTGAAATTTCACCGACGTACTCTGGTGATTTTAAAAGTTCGTTGACACTGAGTTGTGTATTTCTGGAACGTGGTGTCGAGTTAACCAAAAGAATACCACTCATATTTTCAACGGCACTTTCAACGTGGATTGACGACAGTAGCATTACTAATATGATTGAAATATGTCGGGGTGGTGTTGGTATCATATTCAAAGCAACATACAAACGGCGTACAGTCGTAGTGAAGAAGATCAGACAATTCAAAAATGTCAAAGACGATGAGTTCATAACAGAAGTCGACATGCTCCAAAAAATACGAAATCCGTTTATAGTTGAATTTATTGGAGCTGTAGCACAAAACGGAAAACACATGATTGTTATGGAGTATATCATTAATGGGAGTCTGGATCAGATCATCAAAAAATATAAAGTGAAATATAGTCACACTAATATGTTTCAGTGCGATGACGTTATATTGCCACAGAAAATTCGTTATAAAATCCTTTTAGACGCCACAAAAGGTGTCAACTATTTACACCTCAATGGCATTTTCCACAGAGACATCAAGCCCGGAAATATTCTTGTTGTTAAGTTGCAAAGTATCATCGAAGTAAACGCTAAACTTTCAGACTTTGGTAGTGCAAGAAATGTGAATTTGTTGATGTCAAATTTGACATTCACCAAGGGTGTTGGTACATTTAAGTACATGGCACCCGAGTTGTTGAATGGGCTAAAGTACTCAATTGCTGCGGACGTGTATTCACTTGGTATTACTTTCTTTGAGGCATTTGCATGGAAAGACGCTTTTGGAGACGTGAAATATTTCTTTGAAATACCCGAGTTGGTCTCCAATGGGAAGCGACCAGATGACAAGTGTCTTAGTGATGATGAAAAAAGTTTACTTGAAGAGATGTGGGCACAAAAACGGAAAGAAAGAATAACACGTGAAGAGGTCGTGGATGTCATGCAAAAGATGTTTGACAGAACAAGAAATGAAAAATTTTAAATTTAATTGTATAAGTATATATTTAGTATATGCCGTTTCAAGACCCTTTAAATAGAAAGTACTAGACTTCGGGCCCGCGCTTTTAATTATGAAAAATAAGTATTTAAAAATGCTATCTAAACGAAATGTTTAGTTTCAGTCTGAAAATGCCAAACGATCATGTTATTGAAAAAAAAATAAAAAACATTAAAATGGTAAATAACATTATCATTTTTGAAAAACAAAAAAAATGACAAAACACAATTATTTATACCAAAAGATAAAATGAAGAAAAAAAATAAAACGATAATTTATAGTAAACACAAAATTGTTTTCAGATTACTTTAAAATACAATAATATTTATTTTTTGTGTTGATTAAATTGTACACCAAAACCTTTCAATTATATAATTCGCATGTAAATAAAACAAATTTCAAGCTGCACTAATATATTTATTCGTTTTATATTCAACAAGTAAAGAGAAAGGACGGACATGGGGCCGAAGGACGGGAATATAGGCCGAAGGACGGGAATATAGGCCGAAGGACGGGAATATAGGCCGAAGGACGTCCTTTGTGGTTTAGGGACGTCCTCCCGCTATAAAGGACGTCCTCCCTGTGTATATGGTGTCTTTTCTATTTTTTTCGTGTCCGCGGCATTTTTTATTCATTATCGAAACTATATAACGAAGTATATTTTTATTATAAATATACAGTGGCAATATTTAAGTACTTAATTTGGAATAAACCCACTTAAGTGAGTAAATTTTGGTTTTATTTTTGGAAATAACAAAAATTTAAAAAAACTGAAATTATGTAAAAAGACAAAAACATTTTTTTAATAACAAATTATTTTTTATTGAAAATAACATTTTTATAACATTTTTATAACAAAAAAAACAAAAAAGAAAAAACAATTAATTTAAATTTATTTCATGACATAAGCAAAACTTGGGCTAGTATCTATGTTGATTTGTTTTGGTGAAGACTTTATGATTTTTAGTCCTTTTCAAGTTTAAACACTGTTTTTTAATGCTTTGAGTGGAAAACTTGTCGAATCCAGAATCCATTTGGTATTTGACCAAAAAGTGTATGATTTTTACATTTTTGTGTAAAAAACCACATTTTACGATTTACACAAAATGTAATATATTTTTTGATCCAAATGTTTCTTTAAAACAGTTTTCAACAAAAGCTCAAAAGTTTAATTTAAAAATACCGACTTTGAAGTTTATAAATTAAAAATAATAAATTCGTTCTCAATCCAAAAAACTCATTTCTTCGTATCATCCCGTTTTTTAACTAATTGTTCCTTAAATGTGATTTTTTTGTTATTGTATTTGTTTGAATTCTCGTCTTTATTTATTCATTCGTTTATTTTTTTTTAATTTCTATCTTCTTCTTTTGAATCTTAACAACAACTGTTACGAAATATTTTTTAATGTTATTTGTTAAAAAACAATCATTAAAATAATGTGCACAAAAAGACCACAAATTCAATCCGGCTTTTATTTTCAAGCTAGTCCATTGTGTTCATTATTGTTCTTTTTTCACTTTTTGAACCTTTTTTGAGCTTCTTTTTGTCAAAAGAAAATACTTTTCAAAACGAATTTTGTAAAAAATAAAAGCTATATTTTAAGTTTATTTTAATTAAAATAAAACACCATTTCAAATATTTTTTTTCTTCTCGAGCAAAATTGACTTTTTTCTCAAAAAACAAAGAAAAGACCCAATCAAACCCATTTTCCTATTTATAAAGGGTGGTACTTAAGTTTTTTCTATTTTGGCTTAAAGTTAAACCAAAGTTTCACAAAATTTACTCACTTAAGTGGGTTTATTCCACTACTGTACAATCAAAAAATATTATTATTTCCAAAAATAAATTTAACCAAAGACA